GGAATATTCGCGGGATACCTCATGGGTAATGCGAGAGTTCTCCTCTCGCGCGATATCGCGATGAATTAATTACGGCCGGTGTGTACGCCACCGCTGCAGCGAAGGCAATTTTTCAGCATTCTGCAGGTTAACGTCCCTCACGAGAACCCGAGAGAGAGAGAGAGGGGGGGGGGGAAGGGGAAGGGAGAAGGAGAGGGATGAACGCGTATAACGAGTTACTTTATGCAGGATAATTCGTGCGTTATTCATGAGATATTTTTTAATTAACTTCACATATTTTTCATCGTCCATCAGATTGGCGGGAACACGATTTTCGACGAAACGCGAGTTCTTCATACATCGGACCTTCATTAGTTGGCTTATTACTTTACGGGCCGCCTACGGCTTCCACGTCCCGTAGATTGAATAAATATATCCGTGCTTACCTAAATTAATCCTCCCTCTATCCTTCCATTTGATCATTCAATCATTCAATTTCACAAATTAATATTCGATTCATTCGGTTTCTCTCGAACAGCATTATTTCCTTTACGGACATCCCCCCATTCATTATTGTGAATTAATTAACTTTATGGATGGATAGATAGACATACATATATACACAAGTGCGTGTATATTATTGAAATGAGAGAATTATAAAGATGACGTAAGCATTCAGCGAGCGAATGATTTCTGAAACATTGACGACATATCCCGTATTTAATTTGCGCAATTTCAAACCACGCGTGAATGTATTGTCCGCATGTCGGTTGTATTGTGCGAACTAATTTTCGAGAATACGCGCAGTCGGAAGTTTACGAGTGGAAAAGTATGAAATTCGTACAACGTTCAATAAAGCCCGTAAATTAATTCCGCACGGTTAATTTGTGCGCGTGCAATGCGATATATCTGCGGATTTAGCGGATCGCGCGCTATTTTCGCGCGAATCAATCTCGAGGAGAAAATTATGCCTACGGCATTAAATTCGCTAGGCTTGGTTTACTCTTTAATTATAACGTTTTGATTATAAAGCGAAGAAAATCTAATTTTATATCGCGGATGCGAGTTATTTATCTATTTATTAAATAAAATATAATTTTGATTAATTGTGTGTAGATATCAAAGAGTTAAGCAGCGCATTTTATCAATAAAATTTCTTTACTGCGAGAGTATGTTAAAATAATAGTTTCGTTTATAAGCCAGCAGAGTACTGTAGAGCGGTATGCAAATGTTACAATACGCAACTTTGCGGAGAAGAGATCTTGTTCGACGTCCCTTTCGATTTTCATTCGAGGATATCTCTGATTATAGCGGTCACTTAATACGGACATCGGACTTGAAATCGTACCGCGCGGGTCATTCGAGGGACGTTCGCGGAATGAAGTGCATGTCCAGCCGAGGGCCTGACCCAATTGTGTCTCATCGAGAACGTGCACGTACATCGCGGTGACCATGGCTCGGCATTCGGGATTAGGAGGACCTACATCTTCCGGTTTTCGGTCTGGAACACGGGATACCCGAGTGGCCCACGCTTTGTTCCATTTCTCGAAATTCACGTTCCATTATCAAGCTCCTATGAGTACTCGAGAAGGACCCCGGAAGGTCCGACTGTATAGGACAGCGGTAAGATGGACGATTTGCGTACGTGAGACAGCATTTGTCGAGAAGAGGAAGGAACAATATGGACGCACAGCGACTTACGCGAAGCATAAATATCTGTAAAATGCCATGACTGCCGCGGACAGGTGCCTCATTTAATAAGAAATATAATTTGGAATAATTACTAAAAGAAAGAATGTACACTAATCTGATTCCTTTACCTTCCGGAAAAAAAACTATTTGTAAATTAGAAATGTGGCACTAAATTATATAGGGTGGCCCAGATTTTAACAGCCAAACTGGGTGTGTTCTATAGATAAAACCAGGAAAAAAATTGTTACATAAACTTAGGTCCATAGAAACTTATTTAAAAAATTACAACAAAAGTGAAATATGCCTCGTTAAAGTATCGGCCATCTCTGCCAGCAATCATCAAATTCATTTCGTCTTTTACCCGAACATCAATTTCATGAAGTTTACATACATCCGGAAGATTAATTATCTTTCATAAAGAATTCTGTGAATTGATGAAGTAACATTTGCGAAAGGAAAAATTTTTAATTTTCTTAATGAACGTGCCAAAATATGTGAATACAATTGAATGGTTGTCCGGCGTAACCCCCGTTCAAAAATTTCAGCTTTCACATCGCTAGATTTTTACATTTTTTGTTGTAACTTTTTAACAGAGAACTTTTACGGACCTGTGTGTTTATTATAACATTTTTCTTTTTCAATGGAGTGTACTCCACAGCTTAAAACCCGGGATACTCTGTATAACAACATAATTCTTCATAATCAGTAATCAGCCATTTGTTCTTTGAAGGATGTGATGAACGTGATACGGAACAACGCAAGGAACCTGTTGTGGCATCCTACATAGTGGGGCTCAGAAAGTTACATTAATTATAACTTAACGAGCATGAACTACACACGTATTACACGACCGCGCATGTAACGTGTGTCGTTTGTCATATTTCCACCAACTCCGTTCTACGCTACAGTCCGGTGTGATATTAATTCAGCGTCATGCGTTACGTAAACTACGAAAACCAGCTATTTCAATCTCATTCGTAAACGTTGAATTCGCGCGAAAGAGTGTGCACAATTTAACAAACAAAATTGTCCGACAAAACACCCATTTAAATGTGCTATCATCCTAATTATCTACGCGTCTCGAGCGCATTTTTATTGCACGCGAATATATTTTTCCTGCGCTCATCGATATCGATCTGTTTGCAGTTTTGCATCCGCGTCCTATCACGAGGACGGTTCGGCGCGACACGCAATTTCAAGCTCATTGTCAGATGATTGTTTGAATATTTTCAGCTGACGGGTTTTCTACACTTTCGCGTGATATTCCTCGCCTCGATTCTTAACGGAGCGTCGCAAATGGTCCGCAAAATTTCTCAAGGATTCCGCTTAGAAGTAATACTAAAATTTCGCAGGATTTTCCACGATAAAGCCGATCAAGCGCCAATATTTTTCCGTGTAGAAGGATTTGCGCTGTACGGTTCGTGTGGGCGGCGCTGTTTCTTCCGGTCGTTGCAGTTTCTCAGAGCGCAGTGCACGGAAAACGAAAGAAACGCGAACGATCTGGGCAGCGCAGGCAAGAGTAACGGTATTTTTCGCCCTCAGCTTACCAGTCGTTTCCTCGCTAACAAGTGGACTTAAAGTGTGGGCTCCTGCATTTTTTATAGGCGTTTACGCAGCGCTTTTAGCTCCTAGCGGATGGTGGCAAGATAGTTTAGAGCCTTACTGTTTGGAAGCGTGATATATGAGAATTATGCAGATTTGTATTTTACGCGTACCGAGTCATTTAGAAACATTTAAAATCATTTTATCGCGCTCACCCAGACTTCTATGAAAATGCAAAAAGACAGTCAATTTTTTATGGTAAAAAACTAAACTTAAATGTTCTCTCCCGAGATTTTGGTCCTATGTTGAATCTTTAATTCTATTTGTATAATAGGACTTAAGATAGTAAAAGAGGTCGAACTGCAAGCACAAAATTTACTCCTACTTAAAAACTGACAGTGTCGGAAATATTTAATTTAGCATTAAAGTAGGTCCTTTTAAGTAGGAGCTAAAGTAAATTTTTAGAATTAAAGATTCAAGGGAGGAGTAAAAAAATATATATAGCTAAGTAGGTGCAATTTATCCTTAAAAGTATCAAAATAGTAGCAAAATTTCGACTCGACTCTTACCAAAAAGAGTTAATAAAATTTTTACTGCCGCGAGAGAAAAAATTAAATTCAGTCCGACGTTGGCGAATATTTACGCGAGTATTAATGGCAACTGGTTTACCAAAGTCCAATCGTACGACACAAGTTTTATTTTCAGACACGACAGACGCTGAAAATTTGACGGAACTGTAGTTTCTCTCAAGAAGGATAACAATAGTGGGAGCACGGGGGCGTATATTTTTCGTTCGTACCACTACTCGCGCGCACCGTAAGCACACATTCGCTCCGTGGATGTGTACGATCGCGCGCGTTTTGCGTATTCCGGAACGGGAACAAAAGCCACTAGAGAGTAAGCTCGTATGATGCTCGGCGCGTCGTAAGCTCCCCCGACTTCGCCGTCGTGGCACACTGAGGCCCGAGGACGCGGGGGGTTGGAGTGAAGAGGCTTGTCGAAAAATTGTAAGAACTTTTCCAGGGCTTGTCGAAGGCCTTTTCCGCCCGCCACGAAGTTTGTCCATGAACACGGTCGGAGTGGACGGGGCTCGTGTGTGGCGGGGCCAGGGATGCCCGGAGGGCTTTCTGAAAACAGTAATTTTTCTCCCCCAACCCCGCCGGTCCTCCTAGTTCCGCCGGGATTACTCCTGACTTCTCAGCTCCTCCTTCTACCCGTAGTCAAGAGGAGCTTGAGAGCCGAACTATCGTCTCGTAAGAACGGAAGTATGATAAATTGAAACGACCATCGACGAGAGCGATTTTCAATCATATCGGTCCGCGCTGTCCGCTCTTCAACCACTTTACACGAGCGAGAAAAGTGGGGACGAAGGTTTCACGAACGGTGGTTACTTTGTGCAACGGAAAAGTTGTAAGTTATTGACCGATGAACGGTTTAAAATATTTTGAGAGAGCCTCTTTGTAGTCTTTGTCTTTAACATATACACATACATCATCTAGCATCACGTAGAAAAAAAAGTGCAAGACTATCAGTGCCTCTTAAATAATGTAAAACATCCAAGTGGAGATATCCTAGGTCGGTTTTTCTTAGTTTCCATACGTTTTATTATGTATTCAAAATTGCTTGAGCTTAACCAGGGAGGTGACGTAAGTTTACAGACGCAAGTGTCGGGAATACTTTCCCATAAAGTTTATGGTCGCGGCTATAAAGGAGCACGGGGGCGCAAAAGGGTGCCGTTAAGCGATACGAGCGAATGGAAAGAAAGGCGTCACCGAAAAGCTACTTACGCGGTGCCGTTGTGCCGGCCGATGGACACCAGTCGATATATCTGCAGCTCGACCCGCTGTCCGGTATCCGGCACGAATCTGTATGTACACCTCGAGGGCCCTTGAAGATACGGCGACTTTATTTGCCCGAAGCCACGATCCGATTTGCTGAACAGCTGTCTGCTGTCCAACGTTATGTTGCACACTGAAACGGAACACAAAACGATGCTCATGTAAAAATACAGCCGAACAGCGATATCGGTCGCACTTTACGTGGATTAATATTGTACAATCGTCGAATACATATACTTCATCATTTTTCACTTGTTACTTTTTCTATGTAATTTTTTAATTACTTTCTCAAACAGGAAATATCGTGTGATATAATTACATGATCTCAGTTGTGTTTTTATTTTATGGTATCGAATTTTTATAGTCTCACGCGAAATCCCGATTATGCGAGGAAGATGGCAATGGAAAGGCGCAAAGAAAAATGAAGTGCAGCTAATAACGATTTTTCTTGCTCGTTCAGTTTCATTGGCGCGTCTCGGTGCAGCCGTGCTGTTCGGGCGACGACGAGTCGCGACAGCTTGGCGCAATATTATGAGGCAATTTGCCATAGTGTGTAATTTGATTCTTAATTGCTTCCCGTAGGATGTTGCGCGGAATATTCCGTGATTGTGATGCGAATATCTTCTAAACCGTATAGCGTTACATTTCTTAAAAATTATTTCCTCTTAACGTGAGACTATCAATATTAATTTTTATAATTTCCCATACAAAAGAAGTCCAAAGTTTACGTTAAAAAAATGTAAGTCTTATTGAAAATTTGCGATTTATTCAATGTTAGTTCTCTATAATGAAAAAATTCAGCTTTTATTATGCAGAATTATTTATATTATATGTACTTGTTAAGATATCGAAAGTATAAATTGTTATATTTGTTAAATAATTTTTATTTGCATTTTCAATAATCCTATAGGCTAGTACAAAAAACCTTGTAAACTTCTTTCAAGTATATAAAGTGCATATATCTACGCGCTCACGTATATTGTATATGTATATATAGAATATCTTGCGATGTTAAAAGAAATTCGAGGAGAGAAGAATTTGATGGATGGAACACGAAGGCAATATCGCTCCAAGTAATTAGCGCAAAGAAAGGTTAGATGGATGGAGCATAAGAACTTCGTCAAGAGTGATTAGTTATTATAAGAAAGGAAGGTTGAATGGACAGCACGCGGAAGTAATTTTTTTCGATACCGATTTATTCCATTGTGCAAAGGGAGCCGCAAACGTTCGATCGGTACCACGCCTTCTTTTCCCCGAGATATCTTTTGGTGTCTTTTGAGCGCATTGCCGAGCGCTCATCCTCTTATAAACGTTTCCGTTCTCTTTTGCCTCCCCGTTCGTTCTTTGAATCACGCCTCCCCGTTTCCTCCGCGCCGTCCCACGGGCCGCTTCCAAAGGGACCCCCGCTCGCCGCGGCGCTTTAATTTCCACTTGTTCGCACGACACGAGCGGCTGCAAACGAGAAGCAGCACGAGGCAAGTGGCTTAATGGCGCGAATCTTGTTTCTAGCGTCGACACAGACTCAAAGAGATCGCCCACGTCTTTTTGACACGACGTAATTATATTTCCTCGTAGGACCGAGAGAGCAAATACGTCAGTTAGTTGATCGCCGGCGGACCGAAAAAGCGGCGAAAACGACAATGAGAAAGTATTTCCGTTTACTGCTCGTACATTGATAAATCTTACATTTATACATGCATGTAGATTAAAGTGCGCGGAAGATGTACAGTCTACTCCTGTACATTGCTTCTGTATTTTCGTCGCAATAGTTTTAATTAACGTCCGCGTCTCAAATGTAGTTTACACGAAGAAATCTTCATTCGTAGTAAAACGTTACAACAAGCGTAATTCACAAGTGAATTTCAAGAAACTCAATTTTGCCGTAAGTCAGGATTAACTTAATGATACTTACTATTCGCGCAATGCTGCTCCAGGCCACATTGAGCGCACCTATCGGGCGAGGCTGCGCCGCAGCTGCAGCCGCCCGATGGTACGCAACAAGCGCAATCAGTGCTGGATGAGTTAAAGCTGCAGGCGCATCCGGTAGTGCTCTGTGTCCAGAGGTCAACTTGACCTGAAAAAAGATGAGTTCCTTTATGAAACAACTGTTCGTGAGAATATTCGGGCTTGCACTTGCATCACAACTTTTATGAAATATACGAATACAGCATGTTCGAGTAATAAAATCATATTAAATGTATGAAAAATAGTATTAAATTTATAAAGACGTGTATGCACGCAAGTGAGACATGTTTATATGAAAATGTTATGAGATACGTGTGATATAAAAGTATTTTGATGAATAGAAGAGAGTATTTTTAGGTATGAAAATAAATTTGAAGCAAACGTTTTAATTTTCTCGACAACGTCCGGTAGCTCGGGATTTTTATAATACCATCAAAATGTTATGAATTATTGATCCCAACCTTTTAATCTGTACGCAGGAATTTTAATTATCGGTGATACGAATTTTTTAATATTTCGCATATATTCCAAAATTGGAATTTTTTTTATTATTTTTAAATCTAAATTAGCAGAACAAAATATTACATTCGCTTCCAATATCGAATTTTATATCTTGATCGACAATGTAAATATTGTATGAAGATAACGGTAATGTACTGTCAATAATGTCTCCAATACTCCTGTTGCATCGGGATTAACCCGCACTCAAGCTCTTTATTGATCCTAGAAATGTGTACGACGGGATTACATACTCGATATGTAAATAACAGAATATGACAATGGCGAGACACACCGCGCGTCAGCAAAATCGTTTAACTGTCGTAATTGTATATTCATCGATGTCAAATAAAGTTGACCTATAACCGGCCACGCGGTCGCTAGCTGCAATTTTCCGACCGTAACCGAATGTCCGTAACGAGGCACAGTCGTGTGCTTTTCAGCAATCGAAGCTACATACTGGAAGACTCTCAATCCCTGGGTGAACGGTCTGCGAGCTTTGTCGGACGATTTTGAACGTCCACTCGATCTGCTTTCATTCTGCTTGACATTCCCGGCACGATATTGCGTTTTTCGCTGCCACGTCTCTCTCTTTCGCGCTTCTCTCATGCTCTCTCATCCCCCCACATTCCTCTCGTAACGCGCTCTATCGTGTGCCCCCCCTTTTTTTTTAACAACGCACCCTTACGCAGCCAGATGTCCCATGGCACCAATAAATACAAATGCAATGAAAAATGAGAGAGCCATGGGGGTCGGAGGGCAGAGAGGCAAGGATACAACTCCCTTGACGAGCGGTTGTTCATTGTTTTTCCGCGTCCACTGACCGGATTGCGGCGCTTTCGCGTTTTTACCAATCGCTGCCTCTCTCATCCAGCGATGTTCTAAACGTGCTCGATGAACCGGCAAAAACACGGTTATTAATATAGTATAAAGGTCCCCTCTATCCTCCGAATTGCATGTTCCATACAGAGAGAGAGAGAGAGGGGGGGGGGGAGAGAAAACTTCTCGCTCGATTGCGCAAAAAGTTAGTGAACGTCACGTCGTGTTAGCTGACTCTGCGGAATTCGACCTTGGGAAAGTCTAACACCTCACTTCGGAATTGAATAGATGTCATTACGTGTTTTGCCTGATCAATCTTGCATCGTGATAGTACGGAATATTCTTTACTTGTAATTTTAAGATCAATTTCGACGATCGCGTAATCGAAAGAAGGCTTTAAAGACATTTTTTCGTAAAATAAAGTATCAATAAAGGCAACAATGAGATTTCTATGTACACGGAGAGAATTTTCTCTTCAAATTTACCCTGAAAGTCGTGTACTCGTGAGACAACATGGCATTTTAAAGAACTTTATGAGAGTTTTTTTGAAAGTTTACCATACATTTTACTACACTAAGAAAAATGTCCAATTAAATATAATCGGATAATCCTATTATATAATAACAAACGGATATATCCGATCAAATTCTATATTCGATGAAAAATATGATCAGTTTTTCGATCAAATTTTATCGGATAAATTTTATCGGATGTATCCATAATTTAATCGGAAAAATTAACCATCGGAAACACTATTTAATTGGTTTGTCCGATGGAAATTTTTCTCAGTGTAATAAAATATATACTAAGTATAATTACTAGTGAAATGTGTATGGTAAAATTTAAAAAACTCATAAAATTCTTTGAAGTACCGCGTTGTCCCACTATTACAATATTTTCAGGATAAATTTTCAAAGAAAATTCTCTGCGCGTAGGCAAGTGGACATGCGTTACAAACTTTTTATAACGCTTGGGGTATTATACATTTCTCTATCCCTCTCTTTCAAATTAACTGCCACCCAGAAAATTCAGTTCCGTTTTTCGGGATTTCTAATCCGTGATTTGACATCCAAATGGCGTTCTCGTTCGTCGAGGGAGTACTCGAATGGATCGTTGCCAATAACGATTGCGTCATTCAACGGTCGAACGATTGGCAGGATCGATCGAGGACGCCGAGAAAAGAGGCCGCAGCTTCTAATAGAGATTTTTGGTTGATTCTGCAAACGCGGAGATACGCGTGCGTGATTGATTGTCCGAGAAACGCGAAGAGAGGGCGAGAATTGGGGGATGCGTGCGAGAGAAGAAACCGTCACGCCGTCGACGAGGAGCAAGACGAGGAAGATAGAAGAGAGCGCGATGGAGAACGAGATGGAGAGGCGGAGAAGATGAGGGTGTTGGGCGAAGAGAGTAGAGGGCGGAACGAGAAGAGGAGGAAGAAGACATAAATTCCAAGCCAGTGTAAAAAGGGCGTTAAGAGGAGAAGCCCCGGCACCCCCGATATGTCAATATCCCGAGGAAATACGGGGCGGTACTTGGCTGGAGGGATAGTAAAAATAAAGCAAGCTTTATTGCTGCTGCTGCTGCTGCTGCTGCTGCCATTGCTATTGCTGCTGTTGCTGCTTTTACTTCTACTACTACTATAGATATTGCGTCGTGAACGTCGATGCTGCAACGGTATTTTGGAAAAACGCTCGTCTTACACGATTCTTCTTCGTCGCGGATATCAACTGGCGGTACGCGGCTTGTTGCTAGGGTTTGATGGGATTTTACGGTGCGCGGAAGCGAGACGTAAGACGGACGGTAGATGACGGCGGAAGGAAAGAAAGAAAGAGAGAGATTCGCAATTGGATTTTTAATCCATCGATTCAGTCTCAATTACAGAGAAGTTTGTTTAAACGCTGGAGCGAGGGGGACGAGCGCGCGAGATATCGTTGAGATAAAAGGACTCTTGCCAGGACTGCAAGGCGATTCGAGGGGATAAGGACTGGCGATACTCGGAGAGTGAAGGAGCCGAGACGCGCCGCAAGGAGGAACCGAAAGTGAGCGAGGGGAATCGGAGAAAAGACGAAAACGCGAACGGAGATAGCTTGGAGTAAACAAAGACGTACTCGGACGGCTTTTGTGGCGCTCTCTCAGTTTTCCTCTCTCCAGATCCTTTGGGATCCTACTGTTGCCATAGCGTTTACTCACGGATGCTGCGCTTTCTGTTCGATTATTCAGAGGCTGACGGCTATTAAATGGGTATTATTACAGATAGCCGTTGGATAGCCACTCTCATCTCAATATTATTTTATGAGCTTTTTCGTGTGTTACCCGCGGGAAAAAGCAATTATTTTTTCAATGTGTAATCAATGTATTTTTCACACATGACTTTACATATCAGGTATACTTTTGTCTTATTTTTTTAAATTAAATTATTAATTGTAGCAAAAGTTATATACTTTTACCGAAGCAAAAATTAATTCTATTCTAATGAATATGTAAAACGGGAGTATTTTTTCTGCACTAATAAACGGATTTCAATGAGATGGAACAACACACACACGAATAAAGTGATACCATCTCCGTGTTAAACTTGCGTATATCCGCTTCGGGCGTAGATGATACCGTGTACACGTAAATCACGTTATGTACGTGATAAAGTTATCTTGTAACCGATGTGGTTCCGATTAGCAGGCTGTGTAACCAATAATAAGCGATTATATGATGCCGCCCACCCCACGGTATGTTTATTAGATATAGGCTAGCGTTTCTCATAAACTTGGAATATTACGGAATGATTAATAAAGCAGCTCAATAGACTGTCATTAACGCTAATCGTTTACGTAACTTATAATGCGATATATCATTATACGTCAATTTATATTAAATTATCATATGTAATTATTATGTATATTAGCTCCCTCCCTCTGATTTAATAACATTTCGTCTGTGACTCAACAATTTTCTAAATTAGCTAAATTTAGGATAACAATAGTTATAACTCTGCAAATAAAAGAAAAATAAGTGCACGCAAAGAACCCGGGATATTTAGTCCACCAAATCGTACATTAGACTTTTACAACATTTGGACCTTTCGTAAAAAAATTTTAGAAACGAATTTTGCTCGAGAAACGCGTGACACCAGAGATCGGGGACACGCCAAAAATGCGAGGTGTCGTGAGCAGCTTCAGTTAGGGTAACCCATGGAAAATCGTGGTTGCAGGTGCAGCGGACGACAGCCGAACGAAGAGATCCACTTAGCGCTCACTTTACACGGCGTTAAATTCTAATGAAGTCGACGCTGCTCGATTTCACCGATCCGATCAGCCCGCCACGTAGATCGGGGATGCATCCTGCTCACCCGACTCTCGCGGACCAGCCCGCCCGTAATGGTCATCTCCGCAGTCTCTACCGTATGTGGTCGGCTGTCGCAAGTATCTAATAATTTTCGTTTAAACGCGTCCGTCGCTGTGTCCGAAGTGCCCTTTCGCACAGCTGCGCACGGTAGGACGAAAGCCGACGGTATTATCATGGTAATAGACGGCATAGCGGATGTGGTCCCTCAAAGGTCGTTCATTATCTTCTGTCACTTAACAGAAACTGTTCGGCCGAAACTTGGCGATAACAGTATAATTCGCGAGTCGAGAATCGAAACATAAATTCAACTTCGCAATGTTTACGAAGACACCATCGCACGTTTAATCAATAAATGTACTTCGACAGAATACGGTTTGAAACATAGAATATATGTTTTATGTAGAACTGTTTCGACGGAATTAATATATGTAATTATTATGTATATTAGCTCCC